TTAAAGATACATGTATAGAGACTTCCCATATTAAATAAAAAATGAATGAGAAGTAACAGAATATCCAAAAGCTGTAGAAGAATAAGAAAACATTGACATGTAAAAGGACTATCAGTACGCAAAGGAAAGAAGAAAAAAAAATATGAAGTGATAATGGCAGAGTTTTCCAGCCTTAGTGATGGACACTAAAGCACAGATTCAGGAAACTCAAATGATGCCAAGCTGAATTTATATGAAAAACAAAACAAAACACACACACACACACACACACACACACAACAAACACCTGAAACTTGTCATATGATGCAGAAAATAAAAGCAAAGACAGAAACTTTAAAGAAGCAGAGAAAATAATACTCCCTATAGAGGAAAAGGATGATAATTATATGAGACTTTTCTTCAGAGCCTGCTTGAGAAGGGAGAGGATGGGATGAAATACTTTTTATTACTAGAATATCTTGGGAATTTTTCTTTGAAAATTGAATAAGGAATAAAATTTCTAAGAAAATAAAAAAGTGAAGAAATATGTCACCAGAACCTACTTTGTAGAAATGTTAACATAAATTATTTAGAAAGATGAAAATAACACATATTAAAAACATGGACCTATATAAAAAGTTGGAGCATTAGAGAAGTCATAAAAGGAGGTAAAATAAAGTTTTTTTCTTATTTCATTGTTATAATGGGCAATGATTTGTTCAAAATAATAATAAAAATACTTTATTTGGTGATTTTAGGTTATGGGGAAGTAAAATGAATAACAGCAATGTCACAAGGAATGGAAGGGTAGAAGTGGGAATATTCTGTTAGAAGGTTGGGTTTCATTTACAGTATTTTTTGTGGGATATCCTAATAAATATCCATATCTGCAACTCTTTAATTCCAAATCACACGAATATTCTCCTATGAATTCTGAAAGTTTTAAGATATTGCATTTTGAATTAAAATATATGATCCATCCTAAATTCATATTTTGAATGTGGTATAAAATATAGAGTAAGGTTCATTTTGTTTTATGTTCTACATATGGCTCTTTAAATATGTTACCAACATTTATTGAAAATGCCATCACTTTTTCAATTGAATTACATTTGCACCTGTATTTAAGTCTATATGTATATTCTGTAACCTTTTATGAAAACTACAGTGTCTTGAAAAATGTAGCTGTATATTAACATCTGTTTCGAAATTGTTTTCACTACCCTAATACTTCCTTCACTTATCCATATAGATTTCTATTAGATTACCAAGTTTATGGAATATTTTGTTAATATTTGGAGATTTGTTAATATTTGAATGACATAAACTCTATAACTCACTTTGGAAAAAATTGACAATTTAATAACAATGTCTCTTCCAATATACAAATAAGGTACAGTTCTCTAATGTTTCGTTGAATTTTGTTTACCTGGGTTTCGTAATTTTATTTCTCTTTCTCCTTTATTTTTCTCTTTCTTTCTTTCTCTCCCTTTCTTTTTCTCCCTTCCTTTCCTTTCCTTTCCTTTCCTTCCCTTCCCTTCCCTTCCCTTCCCTTTTTCCTTTCCTTTCCTTACCTTTCCTTTCCTTTCCTTTCCTTTCCTTTCCCACCCTTCCTCCCTTCCTCCCTCTTTCTTCCTTCCTTTCTTCCTTCCTTCTCTCTCTCTCTCTCTCTCTCTCTCTCTCTCTCTCTCTCTCTCTCTCTCTCTCTCTCTCTGTCTTTCTCTTTTCTTTCTCTTTCTTTGAACCAGAAATCAAACTCACCATCTCACTCTTGCTAGGGAGGTGCCATGCTACTGAACTATGTCTCCAGCCCTGGGTTTTCTAAATCTCTGAGTGCAGATGTTGGATATATTTCGTTAGACTTATACCTCAAGATTTTTGTGTTTTGGGAAGCCTGTTGTAAATATTGCACTATCAAAATTCAATTTCTAATTTTTATAGAATTTATAAATATGATGAATTTTTGTATATTGGGCTTACATCCTGCAATGCTGCTGAATTCTCTTACCATCCATAATAACAACTTTTTAATAAATTTTTTGGAGTTGTCAATGTAGAAATTTGCTATAAAAGGATTATCAGCAAATAGTTTTATTTCACATCTAGTATATAGTCTGTGTCTGTCTTTTTGTGTCTCTGTCACTGTCTCCATCTCCTTTCATCTGACCCTCCCTCCCTTTATCCCCTCCTCCCTCCCATCTCTCTTCAGGAGTGGCAATACAGACATTCCAGGGTAATTCCTAGTCTTAGGGAGAAAAAATTCTGTCCTTTGCAGTTATGTATCATGTTACCTATAAGTTTTTTTGTAGAAGGAGGAATTTCTCTTCCCAGTTTCTTTCATGAATGGACACGAAATCTTTCAAGTGCTTTTTTTTCAAAGATGATGTATTATTATTCAGTTTTTTGATATGGTAAATTATATTGATTGAATTTTGAATCTTAAACTAACTTTGAATTTCCAAGATAATGCCCACATGCTCATAAAGTTTTATCCTTTGTATGACTTGTCATATTTAATTTGCTAAAATTTTGTTGGAAACTTTTGTATCTGTCTATAAAGTATATTGGTCTGCACTTTTTTGTAATATCTTTGTCTGATTTTGGTATAAATATGGTGCTTTTGTCAAAGACTCAGTTGGGAAATGTTCCTTCCATCCTTTTTCTGAAAGTGTTTGGGAGAATTTTTAACAGAATTCACCAACAAACCCATCTGAGCACTGAAATTCTCTCTGTGAGACAATTTTCAGCTAACAATTCAAGTGATTGAAAAGATATACAACCATCAGGCTATCTCTCTTTTTTAGGCACTTTTGGTAAAAACTTGTGACTTTTAGGGAACCACTCCATCTCATCTAAATTGTTAAACTATTATAACATTATTCATAATAAAGCAATTTTTACCCTTGTAAAGTCTGTAAGCATTAAAAGAAAGTCTTCTCTTTTATCTCTAATGTTGGGAATTTTCATCTTCTCTTTTCAAAAATCCTTGTTAGTCTTGCTTAGGTTTTCTGACCTCCCTCAAAGTAAGCAGACTTTAATCTCATTCATTTTATCTATTGATATTCTGTTTTTGGTCTCATTGATTTCTTTTATTCTTCTTTCCTTTTTGCCTTACTTTTTCTAGTTCTAGCTCTAGTTTCAAATGAAAGTTTTCTCAATTTTTAACATTTGAACACTGGGAATTTCTTTGGATTAGCTGAATCCCATGAATTTGTTGTACTGTTTACTTTTTTACTTACTGCATTATATTTTTAAAATTTCTATTTGTTTGTTCTTCAACTCACGAACCATTTATATGTTATCATCATGCTAAAAGTGGTTACCTTCTCACACTGCAATTATGTGTACTGTTTCTTTCTTCTTTGTGCTTATATGATTTTACTGTTATTCGTTATACTTGTGTAATTTTCTAATTATCTATGTTAAGCATGCAACATTTTCTAATTAGTAACTAATATAGACTAACACTATATTGCATATTATATTTTAAAAGAATTCCACTTAGTCCTCCAACATTCATTGAAAATCATAATCCATATTTCATAATTGTTGCAAACTGAAATTAATAGTCTGAGTTTCTCAGTATACAGCTGTACCTAGTAAGGATTCAAATGCAGATTTTCTAAAAGCTTATTTTTCTAAACAAGTTAGAAACAAAGACTTGACAACTAAATTTGAATTCATCTTGTAGAAAGTGAGAATCATAGACTGTTTTTAAAGCAGTAAGTGATGCAATGTATTTATTTCAATGCAGTTTAAATTGATTACTAGTGATGTTAAATGTCTTTTCGCATTCATTTCTTGTTTCATTTAATTCTTCTGTGAATTGCTTGTTCATGTTCTTAGATAACTTTACTATTATATTTGTTGAGTTTTTGCTTATTGACTTGAATGATTATAGCAGTTTCAATAACAATGCCTGGTTTATTAGTTGAAAATATATTCTCTTAGTTTCATGCTTTTCTTTTTTATTTTGATTTCAATGATCAGAGAAATTTATACAGGAATGAGAAAAAGTAATGTATTTGATATGAGAAGATTATGGTTTATTTTGACCTTGTAGGATGGGAAGCAGGAGGTAGAAGATAATAGGGTTAGAAGATAAATCACTTGATTTGTAAATTCAATGTATTAGTCATCATTTGCTTATATTTATTAGATATAGTGTGCTAGGGCATATAACGGATATACAGAAAAGAAAAGAAAATCTTGCCTACTTTTGAGGAACCTGACTGAGAAGACATGTAAAGTGAGACAAGTAGTATGATATGTGCTCAACTGTAGCATGGAACAAAATGAGCTGTTGGTTCCTGAAGTTTCTGTTTTAAGAAAGAGAAATGTGTGGTTTGAGTTATTTTGGAGTTGTCCAAGGGAGCAAAAATTTGTAAATTGAATAGGAGCAGGGACTGTGGGTAGAAATTTTTGTTCACTTTATGTTTAGTAATTAGCATAGTGCTTGATCAACTGGAAGTTCTCAAATATTTGTTCACTGATTGAAAGATGTTAAAATGTGCAGGCAAAGCCATTTATAGAGTCATAAAACAATTTCTGTAATCCATTGCTTCTATGACAGCGCTAAGCAGCTCTGAAAATGTTGTAATACATCCACATTTTTAGCATTAGTTTTCATTTCCAAAGTAAAGGAGCACAATCTTTAAAGAAAACATTCATTATATGCTCCCATATCTTACTGTTGTAACAGAGCAGTAAAGATTTGCTCTTAACCATCAGACAAACCTAGATTTGATTCCTTTCTCAAATAATTGTGGTTATGTGACTTGCTTTCCTTCCTCTATGGAATAAGTCAATAGTAGTACCTATCGTATGGGTCTTTGTAAGGATCCAGGAAGCAGAGCATGCAAAACACCAAGCCAGTAGTAAGAATTCTGTAAACACTCTTTATCCCCTTTCCCTTCGCGTATATATACTAAACTGGGTGGAATCTGTGAGTGCCTTTGGATTTTTGTGACTTGGTCCATATTTCTAACTGACTTATTTACTCTCCATTTACTTCCTCACAGATTCAGAGACATATTGTATGTTTCAAGACAAGAAGTACAGAGTGGGTGAGAGATGGCATCCTTACCTGGAACCCTATGGGTTGGTTTACTGTGTGAACTGCATCTGCTCAGAGGTACAGTCCCTCATGACATGCATTATCCCAGTTTGTTCCTCAGTGGGGAAAGAGACTTTCAATGCCTAGATACCCAGAGAACATGGGTAAAAAAGCCTAAAGGAAATTAAGAAACAGGTTGTAAGGAAAAAAAAATAACATCTGCTGTCTTTTTTCCTCTATTTTTTTCGCTCAAGTTTTACGGGTTCTCTGGGTATTTACTATGCACTGATACCTGCATTATTTTAGGTTATTCACATAGGACATGAAAGGAGAAGGCAAAAGAGCTCAATTTTTGGAAGAAGCTCGATGTAATGCTTAGATTATAGGACATGATAGTTTTCTGAAATCATTTCTAAGCTTGTCCTTTAGAGAGATTAGGTCTTATCATAAACTGGTTCATTGGAACAGTGTATTTTGTGTTGTCTCAGTCAATAACTTTAATTAAGATTTGGGTTAAGAAAACTTGCCCCATACTTTGTAAGAATTCGAGTTTTCTTAGCTTTGCCTCGGCTTTTGTCCAGTAGCTCACAGAACAGCTTAAATGCTATCTTTGCAATAGACAAATAGGTAGTGCTAGCTTCTTTCCGTGGCTTTGACCAAGACCACAGCTCTGATCCTTTTCAATAAGCTTCTGCTATCATATTAGGTCAAGGACACTCAACTTTTGCACTATTGACCTTTGAGGATTGATAATTCTTCTTGGGATGGGGGCTGTCCTATGCATTGTAGGGTATTTAGCAGCATCTCTGTCTTCTTCCACTAGGTGACAGTGGCACCAATCACAGTTGATACAGCCAAAAATATTACCATATGTAGCAAAGTTTCCTCAGGTTCATAATCATCACTGTAAAATGCACCACAAAGAACCGCTGCATAAGCCAATTGCGAAAGGAAGCCTTTTACTAAGCCTTGACAGTTGAGAATTCTGAATATTTAAAAGGAATTTCTTAGACTAACTCTTAACTGTGTCCTTGTGTAAGGACTGCAACTCTTCCCTCTTTCCCGCCTGCCAACCAGGACTAGTCACAAGCTTGACCCTTTTGCCATTTGAGTAGAATTTTGGACTTTCACAAATATGAGCATGTGGAAATGTAACTTTCAGGTAATGTTGGGAGGTATTAAGTGTCTACAAGTTTCTAAAATTAAGACAGAACAAGTTTCTGACCTTGGCTCTGTGATGTATGAGCCATGTTATGCAAAACAGGTTACCTAACCTCTCTTGGATGCCTTCAGCTTCCTGTCTTTAAAATAAGATAATGGTATTACTATTTCATTAGGTTGTGGTAAGAGTTGAATTCACTAATCCATTGAAATCACTTAAAACAGTGTTTGGCCATGGTAAATTTTCAAGATTTGTTAGTTACTATTATCATCTCTGTCATCATGATTATCATTGCTGTTTTCATTATTATTAATAGTCTTTTAACTCTAGAACGCTATTTAGTATACAACATTAGGGATTCAGTTAAAACTCAACCTGGAGGTGTGGTTTTTGATGTGCTTCAGTGATCTCTCCTCCACATGATAATACTTGGTTCTGAAGAGTGTGAAATACAAAGATTTTCTCTGCAGCATTCCAAAAATTTATTTTAGAAAGCATACAAAAAAAAGAAAAAAAAAAAAAAAAAGGAATCTGGTTAAGTGACTCTGATTTGGATAAAAGAGAACTGCCCCTTTAAGTGGTGAAGGCATGTATTAAATAGAGCATCTAGGGACTGATTAACTTCCTGGTATGGCATGATTTTGTCAGATTCTTGACCCAACACATTGGAGATGGACAGTTCACCCTTGGGGCTGAGGCTTTGATGTGTGTGAGGCAGTGAAAATATAAATATGATCCTAATGACAACAACTCACACCCTAGGCATCTTTCCTTTCTCCATCCTCTTCACCACCCTCTCCCCCCACAATGGCCTGACAAGTACAAGTAGCTCTTGCCTCTAATGAATTATGAATGGGAAAATATAAATATAAAACATACATTAAAAGTCTTCCATTGTTCTGACAATTGCTGAGAGCTGTCAGAGCTAGGAATCATGTTATTTTAAATCAGGCAGAGACTCAATTGCCCCACCCAGGCGTACTAACTAATCAGCTCAATTCCCAACTCTAACTTGTTTTCAGAAAAACGTTGGCTGAAAAGGGAAATGAAGAGAGGAACCAGTCTACTGGGCCACGGTAGAGTTTATAGACTCCAGGATCCCTGTGCTACAGAGAAATCTTTACCCAGTTTTGGGAGGCAGTTCAGGGGCCCCATTATCGTTTTCCTTCCATGGCACTGGGAAGGTGATTATGAAATCAGAGCAGGCTCCTGGAAATGACATGCCACTAGAACTGGGAAAGGGTAGAAATGTCACAGGGCCAGGCCAGAAGAAGCCTCCCACAGTTAAATGGGAGGCTTTAAAACTGGAGGAACAGTGATCTTGGCCTTAGAAAAATTTGCCAGTAAGCCATCAAGGAACTGAGCAGAGGTGCTAATGTGAAAAAAGGAAAGAAAATGCTAATTGTATTTAACTTCTAAGGAATGCATTATTCTCTGTCTGGATGAGTTCCCACATGACTCTTTCTCAAAATGGCATGATCCCAGTGACTTTTGAAAGACATTTTTTTTTCTTGGTGCTTTCTCTCTTTTAGAATGGGAATGTTCTTTGCAGCCGAGTCAGATGTCCAAATCTTCATTGCCTCTCTCCTGTGCATGTTCCTCATCTGTGCTGCCCTCGCTGCCCAGGTAAACCAGTTTGTGGGTTTTTTTTTTCCCCTAGTGGTTTCTTCTGTCTCCCCTTTCACCCAACCCAACTCATCTCCCTCACTTCCCCAGAGTGGAAACTTCCAGACAGGAGTAATGATAGTATTCTTTTAGGCATCTCAAACTGGCCTCTAACCGCCAGGCTCTAATAACTTACTGGGTAACTGGTAAGAAATTTTCATTGGACTTCTAATCATTTGAAGGAACATATTAATTGAGACAAGGGAATCACACAGATAAACTTTTTTTGCCATAAACAGCCTCTTCCTGCCATGGACGATGGGCACCAGGGGAACTGTAGCACTGTGACATGTTTGCTATGCAATTAGTGCTAGAATTGCATCCAAGCATAGCTTCAGAATGATGACAGATTATTCATAAATCAAAGGAGCTGAGCAAGTGAGGTTTATGACAGTATAAAGCTGTGTGCCTGCTGAATAGTCCCCTTCTGCAGGATGAATAGTTACTATGTACACATTGTTGAAGAGCAACTCTGAGGGGAGCCAGGCAGAGACTTTTTCACAGGAGTACTAGATATACATTCACAATTTGTAGTTAGAGTATTTTTCTGAGGCAGAGACTCACTCAGTGATAACTTTGTATGGTTCTTACTATAGTTTAGCTCCCACAGCAGAGGCATAAGACTTGAAATCATTCAGAAAATACCTGTGGGCTCAAAGGCAGTCCTAGGAAAGCTATGTGGATAGTCTTGGGATCTGCCAAGTAAAAGCCTTGTCATCTTGGAAGTCAATTCTATTTACCACAGAGACAAAAATTCTTCAATTATGGTACAAAGTGGGCTTTAGGAAATCAACCCTCTGAAACTGATGTGACATAACTCTGTACAGATGTAAATTTTCCAGTGGATCCATACCTTTATTGCTACTACTTATTTGGTATTCCTGTTGACATTCCTTTATAAAATATACTTTAGTACATTAGTATATACACACCAATTAATAGAGGCTATTATCTACCAGATAGCAAAAAGATGATACTATGTCATGGTTTTATCATTCTTGGTACTGATGATGATACAGTAGATTACAATATATATTTTAAGATGTGAAAAATTGTCTTGGTATATGACCAAACTAAGTTGTTTTAAGAAATAAAGTTCTAAATGAGGTTTATCATTTTTCTATGTGTTTACTTGTTTTATTTAAACTGAATTCCAAGGATTTGGTATAATGAAGGACTCTGGTAAACAGGAGCAATATTTCTGAAAAATGGCTGCTCTACAGAGCTTTCCTTTTTAACTTTCCAGATAGCTTCTCAAATAGATTTATAAAAGCATTCTTTTGAATATGTCTTCAAAAGTGGTCTGATTTTGTAGGAACTTATCTATAGCACTATGTAGAGATTGTTTTTCCTTAGGAAGGAGACTGAGGCATGATGCTGACACACAGAACAGGGCAAGAGAGCATAGAATGGATATGGCTGTCACCTACTCCAGCTGCCTAGAAAGCAACTGGTAGGTAGCAGGTTTTAAGGAAAGGAGAAATTATAAGTTAGCAATTATTTTAAGACAAAATGAAACTGTTAAAATAATTGAGGTCATAAGGCTTGGAAAACAGAAAATAGGAAGGAATAAAATACTTTGAATGGAGTATAGATATAAGCTTTTCTTTCTTTGTTCTCTTTGTGAGTTCATTTTTATTATGGTTAATCATACAAGTTCTTTCTATGAATAATGGTACTAAAGTTCTCATCCTTATAAGTAAAAAGGTCTTATTTTGTTTTTATTTTTGAAAGATAATGTAGTCGGACATAAAATTATAAGTGCAAGCTGATTTGTCATCAACACTTTGAAAATATTACTAACTGGTTTATTGACTTTTCTTTTTAGATAGTAACTCCTTCAATTATGTTTCTCTTATAGGTCCTTTTGTTTTCCTTACATCTTTACATACAAAGTAATATATATGGATGTGTGATTTGTGTCTTTAGCTTCCTTAGCATATGTTTTTTTTTCAACCAAAACACTTCAATTTCTCTTCAATTACAGTCATTATTCTTCTCATTTTCAAAGTTGTCTTTGATACAGGCTCCATTTCATGTACCTCTTTGTTTTTTAATGTCTTCTTTACTTTAAGCATCTTTATATACTCTCCAAATTGCAAATTATTTTCATATTTAGGCCATCTGTTGCATTGTTTGTTTCTCTTATCTTAACTATATGGTCATTCACATTGTGAAACCATCACAGGTTACAATTTTGTAACCCTCTTTCATTATTTCTTGGGATTTTAGTCTCTTTGTGTTTCCTTAAAGTACGGTATTTGAAATTTATTTAATGTGCATTTCAGATTTTTCAATTATTATATTTTTAGAGCTAAATTCTGACCTTTTTGGGGGGCTGTATGACAGATTCTTTTAGTACTGATTTTTTTGGGGGTCTTTTTTGTTTTTATCGGTACCAGGGATCGAACTCATGACTGCTTGCTGGCAAGGCAGGCGCTTATGCCACTGAGCTAAATCCCCAGCCCCCAGTACTGATTTTTTATTTGTAGTTTTTATTTTATATATTCATTACCCATAGAGATTATTCATTCATGAGCCCTTTCTTTCTTACGTAATTGTTGCTTCAGACTTCTTGGCTTACTTAACTCTAAAGGAGGTCATGTATTTGTGTCTCATCTTGAGTACTTACGTCTGAGTGATCTGTCTTTATCTCTGTTTCCTTGTGCAGTGTTAGGTCTCTGTACCTACACTACAATCATGTACCTTGGACATTTTAGGGAACTATTTCAGGTAAGCAGAACTATGTCAGCTCCTTTTTATATCTGATTCTGGTTCCCAGATACATTAGTCAGCTTTCTCTTGCTCTGCTAAAATGCCTAAGAAAATCAAAGTAAAGAAGGAAAAGTTTACTTGGGCTCGATGTTTCAGAAGCTTCTTTCAGGGCATCCTCCCAGTGACTTCACTTCCTTCCACTAGCCCTTACCTTCTAAAGTTTCTGCCACCTCTCAATAGAATTACAGGCTAGCAGCCAAACCTTCAACACAAGATGCATTTGGGGGGTATTCCAGATTCGAACTATCATCACAGCAGCTTCACACAGGAAACAACTTACAGTCTGTAGTTCCTCCTTAGCTGTCCAGCACCAAATATTTGAATCTAGTTCCAGCTACCATTGTAGCATACAGCTTTCGCCCGTATATTCCTGTGCTGTTCTCATGTGTTTTATTCCACGAAGGATTTGTCCTGCTTTTATGAATTTTGGTTTTCAAGTTTTCAATTTTTTTTTTTATTTTACATGTTAATTGCTCTCCTCTGTTTGGAAAAGAACAGATAGATTTTTTTCATATCTCCGCTTTGCCATGTTAAACCAGAATGCAACCAACTAGTCTTTCTTTTTACTGAAGATAAAACAAGAACAAATAGATTTAAACCATAACAGAGAAGAATGAAATTTTATTCAAGGAAGAACTTTGGGGAACATTTGTTGCTAAATCCTACAATAAATGACTAAGGAATGTTTCAGTTTCTTAACTATTTCTAGAAATAAAATTTACCTACCTATCCAAGAAAGAGTTGGCACAGTCTCACTTTGAGACAGGGCAATCGTTGTGATGTTGTGATGACTCCTCTGTATTCCTTCCACCCCAGTAATTAATTATGAAGAAATTCATGCATTCAGAGCCACAGGAATGTTTTGTCAAAGGAAGGAGCTTTGGTTTTGTGTCTTAATCCAATAGAATGCATTGTGATGAAAATGTCCTCTTTTAAAAGTAAAATATTCAATGCCAAGATAATGAGCAAACTCTGTATCAAAAAGAGAAGACAAATAAGCAGTAGATTTCAAGTGATGGTTTTATATTTTCTTTTATAGCAGTATGGGGGGCAATCACCTAAGTAGTTATAAGGTCTTCTCTCACTGAAAAAGTCAGAGAGGCCATCTCTTCCCTTCTGTTTCTCTGTTTCCTAGGATCTTACTTCTGAAACTGCTTGTCCTTGAATTTTGCAGTGATCCACATGTATTTCATGTTGTGTCCTGCTAAATGGTGGAAATCAGAGTATGCCAATTACTTTTATAGAATTACCACAAAGAAATGTATACTGATTACCATTTACAGCAAGTGAATGTTTTTTAAGCAGTGTTGTCAGAGTTTTCACGGCAAAGGCCAAGACTTGGTCACAGACCACAAGGCTCTATTGGGCCCAAAGAAGTTGGTGCTCCATGGAATCTTAAACATTACTAATAGTTGTGAAAGCTGCACAGTAATTATGACAGTCACTAAATCCTCTAGTCATAAAGTAGGATTTCATGTGATCCTTGTAATTAGAAATTTATAACAATGAAATTCTCTATCTTCCCTTTTGGGAGGATGGAGTGATAAAGGGAGGGGAGCAAGATAATACATAAATAAATAAATTAGTAAATAAATGACTTTTATACTGACCTGGTGCCTAAAAGCCTAAATCATGATATTATCTAAGAGGTTGTTTTTATTGTCAGTCCACTGAGAATTTGCTTTTTTTTTTTTTTTTTTTTTTATTTGAGGTACAGGGATCAAACTCATGACCTTGTGCTTGCCAGGCAGGCGCTTATGCCACTGAGCTAAATCCCCAGCCCTGAGAATTTGCTTTTCAGAATTAGTAAATTTGGGCTCCCTCGGAGACATTCCAGCATTCCAGGGTTATTAAAGTGTTCTTATAAAATTGCCAAAATAACTGATTTGATTTGGTTACCAAAGACCTAATCCATAGTGTTCCTTTCAGCTAGGTGTGAAACAATTTGGCTCTACATATTTTTAAGAGGGAGAGTAACAGTGTGATTTTGCCAAGAGAGGAACTCTCACCCCAGTGTTTTAAATTCCAGATAGTTTAAGGAAATACCCTTTTAAGTGATACAGTGTTCAGTATGTTATAAGGACAAGGCAAGAAGCCTCATGTCATTTCTTTAGGAACAGTAGTTGGCTGATGAGTGAGCTAGCCAATGTAGGCATTTTTGCCGTATTGTAATATGTACCTTTTTA